GAGGACAGAGGACAGAGTGCGATGGAGGAGGATGACTGCTGTGGCAAACCCTGAAGAGGGAAAAGCTGAAAGAACAAGACGCATATTTAAAGTAAACTGCTGGAACATTGTGCAGATGTAGTTTTTACAGGTTTATTAAAGTTTTCACGTTTCATGAAACTATGTTTCTGTCTTAATAAAAGTCTGAACCACCTCCACTGGCTCGAGAGGAGCCAGTGGAGGTGGTTCATCTGGTAAGGATGCCTCCTGGGCGCTTCCCTAGGGAGGTGCTTAGGGCATGTCCGACTGGGAGGAGACCCCGGGTAAGACCCAGGACACGCTGGAGAGACTATGTTTCTTGGTTGGCCTGGGAACATCTTGGGGTCCCCACAGAAGAGCTGGAAGAGGCGGCTGTGGAAAGAAATGTCTGGACCTCCCTGTTCAAGCTGCTGCTCCCAAGACCCGACTTCAGAACAAGCGGAAGATGATGGATGGATCTTGAGGACCTGGATGTCAGTCAGACCTGACTGCAGTGACAAGTGGACCACAGGAGCACCTGAACATGAAAGCTTTAACTCTCTATTATGCCTTTAATAAAAACAGTTGGTACCTTGGTTTACAATATTTTTAATGTAAAAATTTAAATAAAATCTGAGATGAAAAAAAGATTAAATTAGTCTAATATTTGGTCTTCAGTCCATACCTCTGTATTGATCAGTAATCTGATCAATACAGATTTAAAATCCAACACTGGCTTAAAATGAGACTGTAGATGATCGTGGATCAGTTTCTGACCCCCTGTGCTGTGGCTGATGGTTGGCTTCCTGTAAGGAGCATGTTCAGACATCTGTGAAGCACAGAGAACTGTAACAGGAAGTAGAGTTAGAGGTCATGGTGTACATTTCAAATGTCCCTTTATGATTAAATGTTTATTTTCTCTCCAACTAACACCATTACACTATTATTATTATTATTATTATTATTATTATTATTATTATTATTATTATTATTATATAGGCTTGT